CCACAGATGTGCTCCTTGGTGATTTTCTCCAAGATCTTCCCGAGGACCGAGGTGAGGCTTACAGGCCTATAGTTACTTGGGTCCTTCTTCCTCCCTTTCTTGAAAACGGGGACCACATTAGCTAGTTTCCAATCCCCCGGCACCTGGCAAGATGACCACGAATGCTCATGCAGCCGGGCTAAGGGCTCCGCGATGACCCCTACCAGCTCCCTCAACACCCTTGGGTGGAGGGCATCTGGACCTGCAGATTTAAAATGTCCAGACCTTCCAGAAGATCCCTAACAACATCTGCACTGACCCAAGGCCTGACAGAGCTATCCCCGAGATTGTCCCTACCTCAAAGAAACTGTTAAAAATATTGGCTTTCTCGTCTGGCGTAGCCACGAGGTTATCATTTGAGTCTTAAAGGAGCCATACATTGCCTGGTGCCCTCTTCTTGCTCCCAAAGTGAGAAAGGACTTCTCACAGACAAGAGAGCCGACTACTTGGTAGGAACTATTACCTAAGCAAGGCTATAGCTAGCTCAGGATGTGGGACCCTGTTCAGCAGTGAGCCTGTTCAGTAGTGAGCCTGTCTGGAAAGGAAGGGGGATTGGGCACATGACTTTGTTCACATGGCCTGGCAGTCTGGCAGAACGGCTGAGTCAGCAGCCAGACTAGCCACCAAGCTCAGAACAAAACTAGAGATCCAAAGCAGTGCTCCTGGGAAGCTAGGCTAGCTGGGTGGAATGTCCCAGCAGAAGGCAAGCCCACATAATGGGGAATCTTCTGGGCACATGCGGGGCTTGGTGCAGGAACATGCAGAGTTTAAAGTGCTAGGGTTTTTTTGTTTTCTTTTTGTTGTTGTTTTTACGCCTGCAAGCACCCACCAGCAAAAATAATTCAGCGCCTATGGATCAATGCACTGTTCAGCTGTAATATCAGAGTTGCTCCCTACGGACACAGATGGCACTAGGGGATGATCCCTACTACAGACCTTGACTCTACATTCATGCCCTGGGTTGGCTGAGAGCTACATCAGAATAAGATCCATAGAGAGGCTGAGGAATTAATTATAGCAAAGAAAACAGCAATAGCCTCCTTCCTCCCCCCCACTCCACACGTAAGCCTAAGCCACATAGAAACCAGCCTGTGTGCAGAGCCAGGATGCCCCTGCAATTCTTTTTATACACAGAAGTGTCACAGGACTAGCAGGACAGTAGTGGTGGATACAGATACCAGCCCAGCAGGCAACAACAAGGACTAATATTAGAATCCAAATCCTTGTCCCTGTTGCTGCTTAAAACATTCAGTTAGACCAGGGCTGAGGCACTAAAGTTTACTTGATGTCTGGCAAAGGGCACTATGTGCCTGTTTAATACATTAGGGCAAAGGGAATGTTATAAGAGAAGCATTAAGCTTGAATGTACAGAGCCAGCCGGAGGGCATTAAGGACTGCACTTATTAGCACTGTGCTCCATAAATATTGTTAAAGTTCTGCTGAAACAGCTCATCTACCCTCCGTCCTCTACCAAAGTCCTTGACTTACATTTTATTGTGCTAGTGGCCAAAGAGCTTCAGAGACTGTAATGTCCATAAAGTATTCATGCACAGAGTTCAGCCATTGACCTTGCATTCTACGATGCCCACAAAGCTGTCATAGCTATTATACTGGGTGCCCAACCTACCAGCCTACTTTATGTTTCGGAAGAATTCTGTGGCATTTTACCATCCAGCCCAGCTGCTGCCCTAAGTAGGAAAAACTTTACTGCAATTGTTCTTAGTAATTTTGGACTTGAGGCACCCCTTGTTAGTCTCAAGACACCCCTCAGAAAATGCCAGATCTTATTTTTTACTCTGTCTTTAACTATGTAAAAGTAATACAACAGATCTTCTGTTACAAAAAACTCAGAAAGACCACAATAGGTCAGGATATTTTAACACTATAGATTCCTATTTGAAATCTCTGGGTTTATCTTATGAATCATGTTTGTCACCTAACATTGTGAGGCACCAATGGCACCCTGTTTAAGAATCACTGCTTTATTGAATTCAAGCAACAGAAGACAGAAATTTGGGCAAGAAAGGAAACGGTTGAATCCCAGGGAGATTGACTTGGGAACTCTCCTCTCCCTAACTGGAGACAAGCAAGCACAAGGCACCACAAAAAAATGAAAACATGCAGGCCAAATTTTTCAAACCTTAGGGCCACAGTCAGCTGTATACATCCATATATATAGGCAGATACTTGAATGGCCTCATTTTCAAAGTGCCAAGCTTCTAAGACCCCAACGGCCTCCAAGTCAAGTGCACTACCATTGCAAATCAGGCCATTCATCTGGGTGCTTACATACATCATTAGTAGGATTGGCAGAATTCAATTTTTTTTAATTTTGAAAGCTAAAATCAATTTATTTTTCAGCATTTATTTCAATTTTTATCAATTGAAATTTTCACGATTACACAAAATTAAGGATGTTTTTCCATTTGGCATGTGCACACATACATGCACGTGTGCACTGTGGCTGCTGCAGGATCTGGGGCCCATGCCAGTAAGGCTGTGCTGGGAGTGGGGGCTGGAGGGGCAGGGCTGGTAGAGCCCTGGAGCCCAGTGCTACTGGCCCCTCATTCTGCCCAGGGCCCAGCCAGGCCACCATGGGAGTTTGGTCCCTGCCAAGGCTGGAACCTGGGCATAGAGAGCAGCTGGCAGCACTGGGCTCCCCAGTGCTACTAGCCCTGCCCTTGCAAACCCCACATCCCAGCACAGCCTTTCCTACTGGGATGGCCTCCAGCTCCTGCAGCAGCTGGGTGGCAAGGGTGGGTGTATGTAAGCATACACATACTACCCTACCCAGGATTCCCTTACCTCTGTCCTGGGTTTTGTTATTGGGTTTTTTTGTGTCTCTTTTATGTAAATTTCAATGATGTCTGTGAGTGTCAGGTGAAACTGATGTTTATCAATGTCTATTGATAAAATTGAATCCTGCCAAGCCTAATCATTAGGAATCTAGAAATAGGCCCCTGTTTTAAAGCATAATCTTTTACTGGTCCTCAGCTGTGTCTCAGAAATAGTATGTGTGTACTGGAAATGGTACGAACTCCAACTCCTCCGCTCTCAGATTAGGCAGGGGAAGTTTAAAGCTACAAGGGACACTATTTTATTTTTGCAAAGACAAGGAGCTGGAAGAGGGTGAGCCCACCCCTAAACTCACATTAGACTCGCAACTAGAATGTCTTCAAGAGATGCATGCTTCAAAAGGGTGAGTACCCTCCATACTTAGCCCTATTGCTACAGAGCCAGGGTCAGTCCCAGCTCAAACAACACATACAGCTGACTGCACCAACAGGATAAGCAGTAGCAAGAGGGCAGACCTAGCAAGACCTAGTCCCAGCACCTCCTGCCTGGAGCTGGTGTGTAGGGCAGATCATTTGGGCTCCTTAATAAATGTATAACCAAACATCAGGAACATTGGCTGGGGATTCAGTCCTGCCAGACTCATGCACCTGCAACGGATTTAGGGCCAATATCTCTCTTGTGAGGCAGGGGTCCAGCTTAAAGAGAGAACTGGACCTTCTTGCCTTAAAAAGAATACAGCAGCATATTCAGTTTGCTTGTGGGACTCATGATGATGCAGCCCCTATGACACGGCACAGGCCAATGACTTCACCGACCAGGCAGAACCTGGTATCTCCGGAGACAAGAAAGCATCCCTGGATCATATAGGACCTCAGGAGTCTAATTCCATGTCAGTCCCAGAGCCACCAGTCATCCTTCCCAGTGCAGAGGTCCCAAAAGAGGGTATGATGGGCATGGAGCCCTGGGAGTTGTAACAGTTGGAAGCAGAGGGACAAATTGCCAGCAATTCTTCACAGCATGAAGAAAAAGATCTTAGAGGACTTACCTGTGGCACATTGTTCAGCCCAGCAGAGCCAGGTGCAAGTAAGCAGCAGTGACATGCAGAGAGCTTTAGACCACTGTGAGGATTGCAGGTGCACCATATTTGCTGTCCAGGTTGAGCTCTGCCTTCCCTGAGCCACAGCAGTCTCCGAGGAGTGTGCTCAGCCTCTTTCTGGGGTCAGTCTAGTTTTAGGATGTTGTGGGGAGCCTGTGAGTCATAGTGACACTACAGGCTCTAAGCCTTTCCACTTGGTTCCTTCTCTGTTGCTCTCTCTTCCTCTTTCCTGTCTCTCTACATAGCTGGAAGCTGGCTCCTTTTATTGCACAGAAATGCAGAGCAGATGCACAGGCTGAATATCTAACCCAGACAGACAGACCTGGAATGCCCCCAAAGCATGACAGAAGCCTCTGGGTGGGAAGTCAGGGACAAAGAGAGCACTGACATCAAGAAAGAGGCAGTCACGAGTTTCAAATGCCTAGGTCTGATGGTAAGAGCCTGACAGCACAGACACATGCCACATATCTGCACATGGAAGCCACCAGAACACGAAAACTCCCCTGGAATCACTAGCCAGCAGGGAGGGGTTTGGAGCAGATCACCTTGTTACCAGTACAGCTCCAAGCCCAGTACAGAGAGCCAGACCTGTAAAGGGATTTAGGCACCCAGAGATGCCAATATGCATCCAGAGGGATTTTCAAAAGCATTTTCAAATGCAGCCCTAAGTTTTAATCCTTTTGGATGTGACCTTGGAAAACATGCACAGATATGAACTAATTCCTAAGGCTGAAAGGAAAGAGTGGGTTCTGTGGAATACCAAAGTTTTCCAGGATTAGTCCCCTCAACTCAGGATTGGTTTCCCTTCAGAAACTACTGATGGAGAGTAGAAACGATGAAGTGATAGTATTTGAGAGACATTTAACACAGCTCTTTAAAAATGACTATAAATCACAGAGAGTCAGGTTCTTTTTAGAGGTTTCCTGAATCACCAAAGAGAATTCTATCACATATATCTAACCATAGACTGGTCCAAACCCACTGGAAAAGTTAAAACTTTTAGTTATCAGACTTTTTTTTGCCAGGTTGCACGTACTTTACTGCACAGTGACTCTGTGAAGTCCAGAAGCCCATGCATAGTGGTGTGAACAGGAAGTGTTCTGTGGCTGGCACTGGGCCAACTGCTGCTCACTCAACTTTGGTTGTTGCTCTAGCTACAGCAGTAGTTTCTGCTTGGTGATCTCCTTTCCTGTGTCTCCCTTCAGTGCTGCTAGCAGTTATTGGGGATTCACTGCATTTTCCCATGTACCGCACTGCTGGAGAAATAGTTAGCCATGTTAACTGCCATTGCACATGAACATAGAGAGAGGTAGTTAGCTATGTTAGTCTGAAGTCAGGCAGAAGGCAGAGTAGATTTGCACCTTTTAGACTAACAAAATCAGAAATGTATAGCATAATCTTTTGTAAGCAGAGAGCTCACTTCATCAGACAATGTGCATGAGTACAGCCAGTGAGGCTGAGCCAGGCTGTAGTACTGAGTGCAAATCTTGTAGCCACTACACCCCACCTCACCTCCTCCATTTCAGATCTTCTTGCCCATCCATCCTCTGCTACCGCTAAGTGGCTCAGCAGTCGATTGGTAGGGGTATGCACTTAGAGCAGATTTGCAAAGAAGCTTGGTACCCAGTGGATGCATCTACTATTGCTAGTACCAATACATACAGGTATTAGAAAAATGAGGATCAGCTGCTGATCTCCACATGGCTGGTAGGCAGCTGCCATGAGCCAAAACAGCTCTCCACCTGCAGGGATCAGTCAGGATGGGCCCCCATGCCCCCCTGCCAGCCCCAGCAGGCACCTGGGAAGCCTAGAGCTCCCCCCGGTTACTGCGGGGGGCACAACACACAGAGCAGGGCAGGAGCCACTCTGGACTGAACTGATTCTGACAGGCGCATGTTCAGCTGCATGCCTGGGATTGCTTTAATGAGCCTGAATATTCTGCACAGAAAATTCTTAACGTGTATATAAGCTCAGGGGCAGAGCCTACAGTCTGGCTCTAGAGGCTACAAAGGGTTAGCTTAGTTCAAGCAGCTTTGGCTAATACCATGCCTAGCTTGTTGTTTCTGCACAATTCTGTGACAATGGAGGATTGTTTTCTTGCTTTCCCCCTGGCCTTTTGGCTAGGAGCAAGTAAGACTAGGGGGCATCCAAACCACAGGGTCCCTGGACATAGCATGTCTGTTACAAAGTTTGGGGAGTATTTGAAGCCCCAGACTGATGAGCCTGGGAAGGAGGATACTTGCCCTGTGGTAGGGCCACGCTGGCTTAAACAATTGAGCTCTGCTCAGTTGAAACTTAGAACTTGACTATTGCGCTTTGCCGGGTGGAATTTGGAACTAATTCAGCCTTTGAAAGAAAACAAAACAAGAAAAAAATCCAGTGCAGAAGGACTACAGGAGCTATTACCCAGGGTAAAGGGAAACCTGGTTGTGCAGACAAGTAGCCATAAACAAGTGCGGGTTCAGTTGGTGTTGCAGCCCGGTTTACTCCTTGGTTACAGCACAATATTAAGCACTTCTGAAAATCTAGCAATTATTCTCCCGTTTCCCATCTTCTCCCTGCCAGCTAAGCAAGCTCCTTCCCCTCCTGCACTGAGAGAACGGGGCGGAAAATGGAGATAGACAGGAAAGAGAGTAAAAGCCTGGAAAGCCACATCCTGCTGCGCACGAGCAGAAATGCAAGATGCGCCTGGGTCTCAGCCTGCAGGACTGCAGCCACTTCCCGAGTGCCAATACCAGGTATCTGAAGCCCTTTTCCCCCGTGGCCGCAATCCCAGCTCCTTGCCCTGAAGGCCTAAGCTGCCCACGTCCCCCACGGACAGGTGTCTCATGCATTTTGCCAGCGTCTCCGGGCGGTTTCCTCCCTCTGCCCAGCCTGAGACTCGTCCGCCTCGGCCAGGACGGAGCCGCCGCCCACCGCAGGCTGCGCTCCCTCCTCCGCGGCGTCCACGGCAGGCGGGGGCGGGGCCGGGCCCGAGCCCGCCCCGCCGCCGTGCAGCAGACTCCCGGCAGGTGGCAGGGC